CATGTAATATCTGTTTATATAATAAGCTTCCACAGTTTATATTTTTAATGAAATAATTTTGTATGATGAAACATAAATTACATTATATATTAAGAACGCATGAACATTATCGTATATAATAAATAATTAATTTAGCATGACCTATTAAAAAATTTACAGAATTAAGTTTTATTGTTTATTCTTACCTTTTCCAAAGACAAATCCCCCGGCTCTATCGCTTTGTAATTGTACAAAGCCACCACGACTTTTGATCGAATGACTGACGATTTTTCTTTTTGCTTTGATGAAGGAGTACCAGGAGTTGTCCCCCCAGGCATGATAGGACTGGATTGAGCACCTGGAATCAACAAAAATCATTTTATTATTTACCTTGGACAGATAAATAGATTTAATCAGTAACTAATGTTATCTACATATGAACATTCCTATTACAATGAACTGAAAATTCTCTCCATCTGCAAAACGTTTTGCAATATATCAAATAAAAGAAGTATATTAATTGATTGCTCCCTTGATTTCGTTTTTAGATACATAGATATACTTAGGCACGTTTAACTTTTTGTGCACCAACGCAAAATTGGGCCAACCAAGGCTGAACTTTGCCTAATCACATATTAAAAACGTTTTCATTTTAAAATGTTCAATGAAACACTTCATAGTATAAGTATAGATATTTTATTGGGGGTATTATAGTTATGCAATGATAACGTTGAGTAATTCAGAACAATATTATGAATGAAACTATTACTACTTACGAATACACTAAGTACGAATTATTGGTAAAAAATTGTTAAGTAATACGATACGACAATATATGCATGTTTAATTTCTGAAAAATTGTCAAACGAGGCATTTTAATTGGTAATTAAGTTAACAGTCAGTATTTTATTACACAAGTCTTAAATAACTTATTAAAATTATAATATCAGACTAAACGATAAAAGCAGGAGAAAAACGGGCCTTGCAGTTCATAAAATAACTACATAATCTCAAACTCGGTCTTGATTTGCTGTGGTTCAATGGACCGTGAAAAAAATTGGATTCGTTATTTATTGTTTCTTCATTGGAGATGATTGTAGGAAGTGATCGTAAAATCAGAGAAGCAAATTAGCATAAAAAATGAAATTGGAAGCGTAAATTGAAAATAGCGAAGCCGTGACTACTACATATTTAAAAGATATCGTGGCTTTTGTAATATTTCAAGGACATGAAAACATTCGATTTTTTTTTATCAATCTCGGGATCAAAATCCATGCTTCATATAAATCGTTTTCATTGTATGTAATCACATTGTAAACGTTTATTGAAACTGATTTTAAAATATAAAAAACTGAATTATTAAAAAATAATATTATTATATTGTCTTAGAAGCCTTCGAAATGTGGTGTTATAGGCGGATGATGAAGATAACGTGGGTAGAAAAGGTTAGAAATGAAGAGGTATTGGAAAGATTAGAACAGAGGACTCTATGGAAGTCAATAAAAAATAGGCGATATAGGTTGGTAAGACACCTTCTTAGGCATGAAGGTTTAGTCAGAGACATATTAGAGGCAGAAACAGGAGTAAGGAGAGGTAGAGGTAGACCAAGATTGGATTATTGTTCGCAAATAGTTAAGGATGTGGATTGTTCTAGTTTTAGGGAAATGCGAAGTTTAGCTCAGGATAGGAAAGAGTGGAGGTACGTGTCTAACCAGTCTTAGGACTAACGACCTTATGATGATGATGATGATGATATTGTCTAAAAATACTACGAAAGCGTAAAAGGGCCAAATTATAATATTTTTTTTGAAAATACTGTAGATACGTATAGTTACAATCAAGAAACTAAAAGTAAAAAACTGAAGAAACATTTTTAAATATTTACATGGAATGCTTGTAATTGTAGATAATTATCAACGTAGATAATTATCAAAATATATAAATTATCAAAATATATTCTTCTAATTTTTCATGTTGACAATTAAAATACGCTTATCTGGTTTGCTGATTTATTGATATAGATAAAAAGTGCCTAAAGGTAATCAAGTCTAAATATAATATGAAGGTATGCAGCTGTTGTGGAACGTATTTTACTTTTAATTTATAATTTCAGGGTCAGAGCGTAAAATTTTTCGTAGATAATTAGGTATCTACGCATATATCTTACACATTAAAAAATAACGAACTTGATAATGTAGTTTATATTGAAATGTAAGGGTTCAGATAGTATCTTCAATAATAATAATTAATTTCAGGTTCGGTTAGGAAAAACAAAAAATAAATCTTGTCATTGTGGGGTTTTAAATTATTAACATTCACCTTTAATTATTTTTTCTTAAAGTTACATAGAATTTCCTGGCAATGTTATTACGGGAATATAATCGTTGCATAGATAATAATTACGCAGTAAGTAGGTATATTACAGCAGTTTTGTAATTATAGTAGATACCGCACCGTAATCTTTTTTCTAGATCTTATTAAAAAGAACAGTGGAACTTTTGTAAATTTTGAAAGTTTACATTTCCGTTTATTATAAATTAATTTGGAATATTAATAATGTTCATGTAATAATTATAGCCGGAAAGGTAAAAGAATAATAATGAATAATTGTCGCTCTTGTCACACCCTCGCCGGGAATCGAACCCGGGACCTTTGGCTTTACGCACGGTTAGTGGTCAAAGCATTGGTGCGTCAAAGGTTCCGGGTTCGATTCTCGGCGAGGGTGTGAAAACAGCAAAAATTTTGCCTTATTAACCTGAGGTAATTTCTAGTAGGTAAAAATGAATTTTCATATTAATATTTCATATTATATCTACGATTGTTGGTGAAGACCTCAAGCCGATCAGGGGACATTATGACCATATCTTTTTTTTTAATATAATACCTACCTACTTATATTCTACAAATTATGCGACAGAGATAGATATCGACAATGTAACAATATTTTACGTTTAACAAGGAACAAGCAATGAAAACGGTAGTAGTTTCACATTGCGTCAATTTAACTACATAAAATAATTCTCAATGGTTTATAATTTTCTGCTACTTAACAACTAAACTAGACTTTACCAACGAAATTAGTTGCAGTTACAGTGCATAAAGATTACGGATGAAATTTTCTTTTAAGATTATTAGAGCATTGTTTACATTAAATTATTAAATATAATAATGCAACATTCTTTATAGCTACGGTGCTGCATTTCTACATTATTGTTAACTATACGTATGTATACATAATAGGATGGGATTGATTATTGTTTTTTTAGAACAGTTGTATCTACCTATAGCTTGTTGAAATCTCTGAATCCACCCGATTACGAGATGTTTAGCGTTCAATTTTACAAAATTTGGCTTAATGATTTGAATTTTACAAAACTCTACCTCTTTAGGAAGCTGAAAGGGGTTGGCAAAGATTGCATGTTTGTTTTTTGGTCCAATTCACTTGAAACTGGTTAAAAAATTCATTCTCTGTTGGGGGAGAGGAGTGGTGAAAAGGAGTTAAATGGAACATATTATTTGTCGTCAGATTTACTTGAAACTTGGTCTTAATGGTCTCTCATTTAATTTCTGAAAGACCTATCTACTAGGATTTACCCGAAGGTTGCTCATCGTTACAATTAAGTAAATACGTGTTTTGGCAATTTTTAAAAATCAACCCTTAAGGATGAAATGTTGTTGCTTCGTTTGTATTTGAAATCTAAGACGACGATATTACATAAAATTTAAACGTTGTAAGGGTGAATTGGGAGTTAAAAGGTTTTATGGAGAAACAATATTAATTTTTGTGAGCGAAGCCGCGGGGAAAAGCTAGTAATTCATAAATTCGATTCCTTTCCTATTTTCTTCTTTTATTTTTCATGCTATGTACATCTTTATTATATAAAATATTAAAATTAGAAATTGTTCTTAAATAAATCAACAAGAATGTTCAAGTTTTACGTAGGGAAAAAGCTGTTTTAAATTCTACTGTCGTTTTAGCGATTTCCGTTGATACTAGGCAAGTAAAAACAATAAGCATAAAACGCTAATACGTATTTCACGATTTTCGTGCAGATTGAAATGAAAAAATCTGTTGAAATGTCGTTATAGAAGGTCGGCTATATTATTTTGCAATAAGTATAAAGTTTAACGAATTTTCTGATTAGAAAACTAACCGTTTGCAGTTTATTAAAAGAGCAAAAAGAAAAGTTTGTCTTTATTCTTAAAATATTTTGCCTTGAATCAGACATGAATAGAAAACCGAAGGTAAAGATTTTCAAATATTAAAAATTTAATTCAACCGAAGTAAATTCGGCAAGCGCAAGAATGAGAATTTTAAGAACTCACTAGTAACTCCACTAATTGAAAACAGGATGATCATAAAATCTGGAAGTTCTCAAGTGTAGATATGAAATCTGCATCAACATGCGTAGGAAATTTAATTCCTTACATGCTTTTACTGTAAAATTTACGTACTTAATTGATTGGTTGCGATAATTAATGATTAAAAAATTACAGTACTTACCTAAGCTCAAGACATCTCATTTCGTTTAAAAATAACAAGTAAATAAAAAGTTTCACTAACCTGTCTGTGAGTTAATTTAGAATAAACATATAAATAACTGAGATGATAGATTATATCTAAAAGTTTGAATGCGTTTCAATTACCTATCTATAGAACAGTGTACATAATATAAAATGCAAACTATTAGCAAATTTTTGAAAATGTAATACATATTTTCTTTTCTTCATATTCAACCACCATTTTTCTGTATTGGTGAATGTAAAAATATATGAGGTATGTTTAGACTCATAATTGTTATAGAATATACAACGGAACCTTGATAAATGAAGTTTTTCTACTTTCTAATTAAATAATACCTACAATAATTACTGATTAACGTACGTATTAAAAAACTTTGTTTACTTAGCGTTTTATTTTTGACTTGAATGTATTTTTTCTAACAACTTTTCATCGTCAAAAAAGTCATCTTTCATTAAGACTGATTACGTATATCAGAATTATGATTCGGACTGAAGGGCCGTGGTGGTGTAAATGAACTGTTAGGTCAAGACGTTTCGCCGACAGCTGCCGTTGACATCTTCAGTGGAAGAAGGTTATATTGAGTCGCTGCAGGATCAGTATAACCATCGCTCACATTAACAATGCAGGACCACTGAAAATGTCACTTACAGTTGTCGACGAACCTTCATTTAGACTAAGACCTTTCAGCCCAAATCATAATTCTGCCATGGATTCTGGCCATATTCTTACACTGACTGCATAGTCATTGCGGAAGCGGTTTCCACGCTTAATCATAGCTTTGATTACAGAGAAAACCCTTTCTACAATGGTATTTGATTCGAACACGCAAAAAC